ACAACTGAATTATATTGAATTAATAATTAATTAAAACATATCATCATTTTCTTAAATACAACACAATTATTATTATTATTATTTTATTAGTATTAATATTTAGTATAGAAATAGTTTATTTAATATATTACAGTTTTTTAGTCTATAATTAATATTATTGATTGGATTGATAATTGAAATTTTATTTTTGAAAATAATAAATAATAAAACATTATTATTATACTTACTTGTAAATTATGACAATAAATAAATAGCTATAATAAATACTGTATTTAAATGTTATTTATATTTATAATAATAGTATTTAATAAAAGTTAATACAATATAAGTACATTAAAATATTTATTTATATTTTAAAAAATAGTTAATACATCTAATAATTAGTTAAAATTATATAATAATTATTATTTTACTAATTTTATTATTACAATTAAGTATATAAAAATGGTTGACACTTTTGAAAACAATTTTTTACAAATAAAAAAATATCAAAAAAACACGTTGTAATATATAATATATATTTTTATAAAAATATAGACATTTATACAGTTACCATGGTTATTATTTTTTATAATGTATTATATAAAATGTGTTTTTATGCGTTGTTTAACTATTACTGTATTATATTATTATCAGCAGAAATATATATATATTTGATAAAATATAATCAATTAATTATCAGTAAATATAATATTTATATACGATATTAATAATAAAAACAAATATTATAAACTAAAGTATAACTAATATAATACTAGCGTTTTATTATTTTTTTTTAGAAAAACTATTAATAATCAATACTTGAAATAAATATTTTTAATATAGATATATATTTCTATTGCCATTTTGTTAAATTTGATTAATAGCTTTATCATTGTTATTATTAATTTATTTTTATAAAAATTATGTGTATGTGTATGTGTATGTTTATGTTTATGTTTATGTGTATGTGTATGTTTATGTGTATGTGTATGTGTATGTGTATGTGTATGTGTATGTGTATGTGTATGTGTATGTGTATGTGTATGTGTATGTGTATGTGTATGTGTATGTGTATGTGTATGTGTATGTGTATGTGTATGTGTATGTGTATGTGTATGTGTATGTGTATGTGTATGTGTATGTGTATGTGTATGTGTATGTGTATGTGTATGTGTATGTGTATGTGTATGTGTATGTGTATGTGTATGTGTATGTGTATGTGTATGTGTATGTGTATGTGTATGTGTATGTGTATGTGTATGTGTATGTGTATGTGTATGTGTATGTGTATGTATGTGTATGTATGTGTGTGTATTTGTGTGTATGTGTGTGTATTTGTGTGTATGTGTATGTGTATGTATGTGTATGTATGTGTGTGTATGTGTGTGTATTTGTGTGTATTTGTGTGTATGTGTGTGTATGTGCGTGTATGTGTGTGTATGTATGTGTATGCTAAAGTATATTTACTAACTTGTACTTTAAATCTAATAAAAATTAGCTAAAATTTATAATAAATAATAAAAATTTTAATATATCAGATAGTATTATAGTATTGCATTAAATATTTAAGCATAGATTAAGTAAGTCTTTGAAACCTTAATACATATCATCATTATTACTGTTATCATTATTTATAATACAAATTTATACAAATTATATTTATATATCTATACTGTATATAATAGTTTATAGTTATGATAAATTTAGATTATTTAAAAGTTTACAGTTTTTGAATATATCTAAAAAATAGATAAATACTGTATATTAACTTTTTTTTATATAAAAATTTATTTTTTAATCAATATTTTAACAAACAGCTATACTGTACTGTACTATAGAGTAATAATATTTTAATAATCATAATAAAAATATTTTATTATACAAAACAAAAATTAAAGCCAATTTTTTTTGATAATATATAACATTTATTTTTGTATAATATTTTGTTTACTAAAAAAGTGTATAATAAATAATTGAAAAATATATATTTTTTAATTTTATGATTTATAGATCAGTTTATAATAGGATATTTTTAATACATAATTAGTATAGGACGGAAAGTCTATACCTGTATAAAACTCACCATCATCATTTTTATATAAATCATATAATTAATTATATGAATTAATATATAAATATTTTTGTTTGTTTTTATCATAATAATGTTATTAAAAATATCTTAATTAAAAGTTTACAGTTTTTTTTCATTAGTTCAAAAATACTGTATGACTGTATGAATTAGTTAAATAAATAAATTTTAGTAATAATTAAAAAAAACATTAATTTGTTAAATTAAAAATATAATAATATTTATTTTGCCTAGTATTATATATATATATAATTATTAACAAAATATATTATTTTTAATTATTTAAAAATTGTTTTTATGTTAAGTAAAAAAAATATATTGATAATTAAAGTAAATTAACTAATTTGTAATCTAAATCTAATATTTATATAAAATATATAATGTATATATAAATTAGCTAAAATTTAAAATAAATATAAAAATTTTTTATAATATATCAGATAGTATTATATTATTGCATTAAATAATTAAGCATAGATTAAGCACGTACTAACTTAAATACATATCATCATTATTATTTGTAATAAATATTTATATAAATTGTATTTTTATATATTATACTGTATATAATAGTTTATAGTTATGATAAATTTAGATTATTTAAAAGTTTACAGTTTTTTTAAAAATATATCCACAAAAATAGATAAATACTGTATATTAACTTTTTTTTTTATATAAAAAATTATTTTTTAAACAATATTTTAACAAACAGTTACAGTATATGTTCTGTTATATAGTAATAAATTTTCAATAATCATAATAAAAATATTTTATTATACAAAACAAAACAAAATAAAGCCAATACTAGCAAAATATATAGATAAATATTTTTGACTTTTTTGATAATAAATAACATCTATTTATTTATAACTATAATATTTTGTTTACTAATAAATATTGTGTAATAAATAATTAAAAAAAATATTGTATAATTTTATAAATCAGTTTATAATAGGATATTTTTAATACATAATTAGTATAGGACGGAAAGTCTATACCTGTATAAAACTCACCATCATCATTTTTATATAAATCATATAATTTATTATATATATATATATATATATATAATTATTTTTATTTGTTTTTATCATAATAATGTTATTAAAAATATCTTAATTAAAAGTTTACAGTTTTTTTTCATTAGTTCAAAAATACTGTATGACTGTATGAATTAGTTAAATAAATAAATTTTAGTAATAATTAAAAAAAAACATTAATTTGTTAAATTAAAAATATAATAATATTTATTTTGCCTAGTATTATATATATATAATTATTAACAAAATATATTATTTTTAATTATTTAAAAATTGTTTTTATGTTAAGTAAAAAAAAATATATTGATAATTAAAGTAAATTAACTAATTTGTAATCTAAATCTAATATTTATATAAAATATATAATGTATATATAAATTAGCTAAAATTTAAAATAAATATAAAAAATTTTTATAATATATCAGATAGTATTATATTATTGCATTAAATAATTAAGCATAGATTAAGCACGTACTAACTTAAATACATATCATCATTATTATTTGTAATACATATTTATAGAAATTGTATTTATATCTGTATAGTGTATATAATGGTTTATAGTTATGATAAATTTAGATTATTTAAATGTTTACAGTTTTTTTAAATATATCCACAAAAAATAGATAAATACTGTATATTAATTTTTTTTTATATAAAAAATTATTTTTTAAACAATATTTTAACAAACAGTTACAGTTATGTTCTGTTATATAGTAATAAATTTTCAATAATCATAATAAAAATATTTTATTATACAAAACAAAACAAAATAAAGCCAATACTAGCAAAATATATAGATAAATATTTTTGACTTTTTTGATAATACATAACATCTATTTATTTATAACTATAATATTTTGTTTACTAAAAAATATTGTGTAATAAATAATTAAAAAAAAATATTTTATAATTTTATAAATCAGTTTATAATAGGATATTTTTAATACATAATTAGTATAGGACGGAAAGTCTATACCTGTATAAAACTCACCATCATCATTTTTATATAAATCATATAATTACATATATATAATCATTTTTATTTGTTTTTATTATAATAATGTTATTAAAAATTTCTTAATTAAAAGTTTACAGTTTTTTTCATTAGTTCAAAAATACTATATGAGTTATGAATTAGTTAAATAAATTTAAAAAGTAATAATTTATTAAAAAATTATTAATTATCAAAACATTAATTTATTAAATTAAAAATATAATACTAATTATTAACTAAATATTATTTTACTTAAAAATTGTTGTTAAAAAAATATATTGATAATTTCATAAGATTTTGTGTTATTTAATAAAAATATATTTATAATCTAATATCATATTATATTTAACAAATAATAATAATATTATCTGGTTTAATTTTGTATTAATAACCTAAATTAATTGTTTTTTTATTTGATTATTTTTTTCTCAGATAATATTAGTAATTGATTTCATAAAATTTCCACTTAATAATAATAATAATATCAGATTAAAACACAATATTAAATAATAATAATAATAATAATATCATAAACTATATATTCATATAAAATAAGGTATTGATTTATATATATATAAACTAGTTTAATTAAAGTGTCTAGGTTATTATCATAAATAGACAAAAAAAAATATTTTTAATCAATTTTATGATAAAAACACATTTTGTACTAAATAGCTAATAATAATAATAATTAGTTTTTAATTACAATAATATCTGTTAATTAGTAATAACAATAATAACAATAAAAATATACACTAATATTAATAGTAATTATATAATTGTTTTATTAGTAATAATAATAAATAACATATAATTAAGTTTTTTCAAAATTAAATAATTTTTTGTTGTTTTTCATATATTTTTTTCATAAAAAAATAAAAATAATAATTTAATGGACTATTTGAGCGAAATTAATGAAAGTCTACATCATCTGAGAGAAAATAATAAGACATTAAAAGGACGGTTAGCCGATAGTGGTAATCAAATACATGAGCTCAGGCAACAAAATGTCGACCTGGAGTCACGTATTAAGCACTTGGAGTTATTAATTAATAATCAATTATATAATAATAATAATAATAATAATAATATAGACATCGATGATGTCGTTGACAACAACAGTGATACAGATAAGGTAATAGACATATATATAAATATATAATTTATAATAATTTATAATTAATTTTATATAACTTTTCAAAAAATACTATGTTTTAATTATTATATATTACTTTCAAAAAATACTATTTTTTTTAATTAATTTTATATAACTTTCAAAAATACTATGTTTTATATAACTTTTAAAATACTATGTTTTATATAACTTTTAAAATACTGTTTTATATAACTTTAAAAAATACTATGTTTTAAATATTTTTATATAACTTTCAAAAAATACTATATTTTAATAAAATTTTATATAACTTTCAAAAAATACTATATTTTAATAAAATTTTATATAACTTTCAAAAAAAAAAAATACTATTCATGTGTGTTTATGTAGAGTACATGCAAACGGGTTATTGCCGGCGCAAAACTGGCCAACAAAGTAGACATATTGGCCACCAGTGACGACACTACCGACGATATTGGCGGCAGCATCGGTAGCCCTGACCAACGATTCGAGTCGACAGTATGCGAACTAAGCTTACTGGCCGTACGGTTACAGTTGGCCACATTCGGCGAAATTGCCGACTATTTGAAACAAGAAATACGGGTGAAAACGGGTACAATTTGTTTGGTTACTTGTGGACAGTATGGTTTGTATGACTATCAGACATGGGTGGATAAAAATCGTAAATATTTAGCCCTAAAAATTGGCGATCTATTTATCATGGTCAATCAAATACATGTAAGTGTGTTGTATTGGATATACCTGGGTATACCTTAGTTATTTTTTTTAAAAAAAATATTGGGTATTACCTACCTGGGTCATACAGTATATGATTATTAATTAATTAAATATTATATTTATGTTTGATTTTTAATTGTTTAGTCAACTAAGTTAACAAACAATTTATTATGAGCATAATTAAAAACTACTACTTTTAATTAATAATATAATTAATAAAATAATAAAACTAATTATTATTATTATTAGAAATTTAAGTATCAATATACTAAAGTATTGATAATAATAATATACAATAAAATTAATTATTATTTTAGTTATATTAGTAGTTTATTATTAATGACTTAAATATTGTTAGTATAACTATTATTATTATTATTATTATTATTATTATTATTATTATTATTATTATTATTATTATTATTATTATTATTATTATTATTATTATTATTATTATTATTATTATTATTATTATTATTATTATTATTATTATTATTATTATTATTATTATTACTACTACTACTACTACTACTACTACTACTACTACTACTACTACTACTACTACTACTACTACTACTACTACTACTACTACTACTACTACTACTACTACTACTACTACTACTACTACTACTACTACTATTATTAATAATAATAATAATAATAATAATAATAATAATAATAATAATAATAATAATAATAATAATAATAATAATAATAATAATAATAATAATAATAATAATAATAATAATAATAATAATAATAATAATAATAATAATAATAATAATAATAATAATAATAATAATAATAATAATAATAATAATAATAATAATAATAATTAATACATTAATTCAAAAACTTAATAGTATAAAAAAAATTTTTAGATATATAATTTTTATTTATTTAATTTTCAAATATTTAATCTAAAATTTTAATAATTATGTTGTTTGTTTTGTTTATTTTTTTTGTAGACAAAGTTTACCGACTATCTAAACAATGCCAAACAGGAACCCATTGTCGAGTTAACCCAGAAAAGTGATTACGTGGACCTATTGTTTGAGGAACGGGTGATTGAATTGGCCAAAGAAATCGTAATGTCCTCACAGTTTCGCAATGCTATCAGTATTGCCGACTATCTGAAAGATGAACTGAACAACCGTTACGGCAAATACTACGGTACCAATTGGTTGGTCACCTGTGGTTTCGGTAAACTATACGATCTGTCAATTAGTCTAAAATCGGGAAAACAGCGAAAATTTCTAGATTTTCTTATCAATGATTTCCGATTTACTGTATTTCAGACATCATAAGACCTGAGTGAGTGAGTGAGTGATTAATTGAAGAGTGAGTGAGTGAGTGAGTGAGTTAGTGAGTGAGTGAGAGAGAGAGAGAGAGAGAGAGAGAGAGAGAGAGAAATTTTAAAAATAAAAATATATATCAATTATAATTTTAAAAATAAAAATATATATCAATTATAATTTTTAAAAATAAAAATAACTATCAATTATAATTTTAAAAAATAAAAATAAATATCAAATATAATTATTAAAAATCAATATCAATTATAATTTTAAAAATAAAAATAAATATCAATTATAATTTTTAAAAATAAAAATAACTATCAATTATAATTTTAAAAAATAAAAATAAATATCAAATATAATTATTAAAAATCAATATCAATTATAATTATTAAAAAATAAATTATGTTAACATTATTTAATTATGTTATACACTGTACTAATATTAATTAAAAAAAATCTATATAATTAAAACTAGAAAATAAAAATATCACCAAAAATAAACTGTAACTTATTAACTATCAAAAATTAATATTTTTTATATATGAAAAAATTAATTATAAATTTTATATTATATGTGTAATCCCCAAAAAAATCAGTTAAAATTAATCATTTAGTTTAAATAGCATTAAAAGGATATTTATAAAACTAAATAATTATTTAAGTAAACAGTTTTTACTGTATTTGCATTAAACGATTGAATAATTCATTGCATACTTTTAACTATAAATTTAAAACTGATTTAAAAAGACGATTACACATATATTTTTATAAAAAAAAAATTAGATAATTATTATATTATAATTGTTGTTATTTTAGCAATTTATTTGAACAAACAATTATAAACTATAATTTGAAATTATTTTAATTTTTAATAATAATTCTAATATAAATATATAAATAATAATTATTTTAAAAAAATATAATTGAATATATATACTTGTATATTGTATTGCAAATTATAAATATTTAAACTATAATATTAACTAAAGTTTTAACTATGATCCGATAAATAAAAATCTAAAATAAAATAATAATATATTTTTTTTGATAACTAAGCTATTTATTTAAAATTTATTTTGAAAAAATTGTTTATCTATAAATTTAAGTTTATGATGTACTTAAAATAATACATATAATTGAAAATTAATTGAAAAAAACATTATTATTATTATTACTGTTTAGTTTAGTAATAATATAATTGTTTTATTATAAGTAAATTATTAAAAATAATATATTAAATTGTTTTAAAATTATTTAATTGGGTTTAATATGCATATATATTTTAATTCAATTTTATTTCAATTATATTTTTTCATATTAACATTATTATACAATATATGTTATACACTGTACTAATTAAAAAAAACTGTAACTTATTAAGTATAAAAAATTATTAGTTTTTATATGAAAAAATTACTTATAATTTTTTTTAGTTTTAATTAACAATATGATATTTATCATTTTATTAGAAAAATAAGATATTATTATTATTATAATAATAAGATTATTTATAGACTAATAAAACTAGAAAATACAATTTAAAAAAATTTTAAAACTATTAAGTATTTACATTTATATTACATTTATATAAATAAATTATTTCAAAAAAAAAATATTTTTTATCCCTATGCATGAACAGTAAAATCAGTTAAAAAATTATTATTAAAAATAATTAATAAACTATTTGTTTATTTTTGAAAATACATTAATGATTTAATTAAAATCATTGACTTATATTGTATTTAATATTAATATAACTGATGACTTGTTAATTACTAAATAAAAAATCTATAATTAATATTAATTGAAATTAGTTTTAACATAATAAATATTATTGTGTATTATAAAAAAAATTATTGTATATTAAAATTACATTTGTTTATAGAAAAAACATGTTTTATAGGATATATAAAAAAAATTATAACATTATATTAGTTGAATAATTTTTTTAACATATCTAATAATAACTATAATATTAATTTTTTGACAATTTTTATTTAAAAACAAAATGTTTGTCATTTTTTTGTTGTTGAGATAATATATTAGTTTATTGTGTACTTAAAAAAATAATATTATAATAAAAACCGCATTTTATTATAAATATTTGGACATATTTACATGAATAATATATTTAATATTTTTTTTATTACTAAATAGTTTAACCACAATAATAGATAAATTTGCGTAAATGATTTTATAGTTAATAATATTTTTATTTGTTTTTTTAAAAAATAAACTAAAAATACATTAAATTTTTTGTTAGTAATAATATTTTAATTTCTCATTTGTTTTAATAAAAAGTATTTCAATGTAATGTTTGTTTAGAAAATAAGTAACATATATATAATTATTTAATGTATTAATAAAATTAAAATAAAACAGTTTTATTAAATTATTATTATTTAATTAAGTAATAATTATGTCATTATTGGGGTCATTACTATTGGCACCGACACTACCAATAATAGCCATACTATCAATACTACTGTCCTTATGGTTTGCCAGATTTTATCGACGTTTCCGGCGTATAGTCAAACATATTGAGGCCATACCTGGACCTCCCGTTCCCAATGCCATAACCGGTCATTTACTTTATTTTTGGCAAAATAAAGGCGAATCCGATTGGTTTCAACGTAAGTAATAAATTATATATAATATATTTAATTTTATGTATAGATATAAACAAAATAATATATTTTTTTAAAAAAATAATTAATTAAAACTGTAACTAAAATAATAGATGTATATATTATTAGTTTATATTTAAGTATACTATAAACTACAACTAGTTTATACTAATGAAGTAAAATATTTAAAAATAAATTAATATTTTATATTAGCAATTAAATTTTTACAATAAAAATAAACATAATTATTAATAATTTTTAAAAATATATATAAAAAAATACTATATCTACAATTTTATTAGATTAGCTATATATATGATTATATTTAATTAATTTTTTAAAACTATAATTAAAGCTTGTTTATAACATTTATTATCTTTTTTTTTGAAAAAATATTAAAAGAAATTTTCAAAACATTTGTGGGAATAACTGAAAAATTTCAACAAAAAAATGAGGGAATAATGCGTCTATGGGTTGGCCCAACACAGCCAGTGGTCATCATATTTGATGCCGAATTAGCTGAGGTTTAGTATAATTTTAATAAAAGTTTTAATTTAATTTAATAAAAGTATAATTAGATCATTTAAAAAAAATATATAATAAAATAAATAGTTTTTTAAAAAATTATTATTTAGTTTTATTGTTTTTAATTAAATTATAATATTTTTTTTTTTAAAATTATCTAGATACTATTGACTAGCAATACAAACATTGATAAGTCACCTGAATATGATTTTGCAATACCATGGCTAGGACTCGGTTTATTTACCAGGTACCGTTTTTAATTTGAATATTAATTTATGAAAAAAATAATATTTAATAGAAAATTAATTTTTAATACAAATTAATATTTAAAACAAATAAATATTTAATAGAAAATTAATATTTAATACAAATTAATATTTAATACAAAGTAATATTTAATAGAAAATTAATATTTAAAACAAATAAATATTTAATAGAAAATTAATATTTAATACAAATTAATATTTAAAACAAATAAATATTTAATAGAAAATTAATATTTAATACAAATTAATATTTAATACAAAGTAATATTTAATACAAAATTAATATTTAATACAAATTAATATTTAATACAAAGTAATATTTAATACAAAATTAATATTTAAAACAAAATTAATATTTAATTCAAAATTAATATTTTATACAAATTAATATTTATTAGAAATTAATATTTAATAGAAAATTAATATTTAATACAAATTAATATTTAATACAAAATTAATATTTAATACAAAATTAATATTTACTACAAATTAATATTTAATAATAATTATTATTACACATACACACACACCCACACACCTAACCTATTAAACCAACTAATAACCCACACATTTAATATATATATTAATATATATTGATAGTACTGGTGACCGTTGGCGCCATCATCGCAAACTGTTGACCCCTGCGTTTCATTTTAAAATATTGGAAAGTTTTGTACCCATTATTAACAAACAACAACAGATTATGATGAATATCATTGACGACCAACTGGCCAAACATACCGGTGCTGCTGCTGTTATCGATGATATACGACCATTGATTACTAACTGTGCTCTCGATATTATATGCGGTATGTTTTTGTTGTTGAAATAGTTAATAATAAATTGTATTATTAATAATAATAATAATAACATTACTTTTTGGTTATTATAAACTGTTATATTTGTAATAAATTAAAAATAATTTATATTTATATATTTTATAATATAATTATAACTAGCTAATTGATTGACTTACAATTGATTGATTTATTTAAAAATAAATCATAAACTTTAAAAAAAAAATATAAAATCAAATACAGTATAACTTTTTTACACTTTATATAATAGATAATAATTATATAAATAACTTTATTTAATAATTAATTCATACAATAGATATATAATCTATTGTATGAATTTATTATTATTATTATTATTATTAAAATAATTATTTTACTTACTAAAAAATAATTATATTATAATAATTACTAAAAATAATTATATTATTTAATAATAAAAAATAATTATATTATTTACTAATAATAATTAAACTAAAATAATTAGAGACAGCAATGGGTGTCAGTATTGACGCCCAAACAGATCCCGAATCTAAATACTCGAAAGCCGTACGAAAAGTTTTGGACTTATTTACCACAAGATTTTTGAGTCCCTGGTTATGGAATAATCTATTGTTTCAATTGACTCCAACCGGTTATCAACAGAGAAATACTATTAAATTTTTGCATAACTTTACTGATTCGGTAAATAATTAAAAAAAATTTTTTTAATAATAATTTATTTATATATAGAATATAAAAACAATATTATTTTGTTTTTGTAATTAATATATTTAAAAAAAATATTTATTAATAATAATATTAATAAATTTAAATATACAATAAAATTTTAACATAAATATTTAAATATACCCCTATTTCAATTAATTATAAACTCAATATTAGTTAAATACTTTATAAATTTGGCATAATTAATTTGCTACAGTTTATTTAGTTAATGTATTATTTAATATTATAATATCAACTATAAGTTTTATTATTAGTTAATATTAATAAAAGCCTAAAATTTCTAGATTAAATATAATTTAAAAATTTTAGTAATGATTATTATTAGATTTTTAATATTATATATTATGAGAAAATAATTAAAAAATTTATTAATTTTGTGCATAATTTTACAGATTTGTTAAGATATTTATGATTTATGTTAATTAATAGTTTATTGTTTTAAAATAATTATTAATATATACTACAGTATATAATTTAAAATAATTTAAAAAATCTATTTATATATTATATAGTGTGTAAACAAATTGATTTTTAAATTTTTTTATTATTTTAAATTATATAAAAATAATTAAATATAAAAATTATATTAAAAAATTTTACTACATTTTAAATAAACTATTAAATATATTTACTATTAGTTTTATATAAATGTTGTATAAAATTTGTACAAATAATTTGTTACAGTTTATTATTGAATGAATTATTATTATTTTTTAAATAAAATAAATATTGTTTTACATTTAATTATTAATTTTAATGATACTAATTAATTTTTTTTAATTTTTATTTAATTTTTTAGGTAATTAAACGTAAAAAATCTGAAATTATGGATCGACTAAAATCGGGTAATAGTAGTGTCGATAATAATATTGACGACACAATGACATCGATCGGTACGAAACGTGTTCTCGCATTTCTCGACAACCTATTGACACAAAACATCAAAAATCCCGACCAATTTACCGAACGGGATATACGGGCCGAAGTGGACACATTCATGAGTGCCGGTCAGGACACGTCATCGGCTACAACACAGTTTGCATTGCAGCTGATTGGCCACTATCCCGACGTACAGGTGCTCACAACACTATCACAATGTTATCAATTATTGATATATAATAATAATAACATTAATAATTATATTAGAAAATTGATTTAATTTTATTCAAGAAAATTAGTTATATTTTTTAAGAGAAAATTAGTTTAATTTTTTATTAAAGAAAATTAGTTAAATTTTTAAGAGAAAATAAGTTTAATTTTTTTAGAAAATAAATTTAGTTTTTAAAAAATTAGTTTAGTTTTATTTTTAAAAATAACTTAGCTTATTTTTTAAAAATTTGTTTAGTTTATAAAAATTTGTTTATTTTTTTTAGAAAAATAGTTAATTTTTTAGAAACTAAGCTTAATTTTCTATTAGAAAATAATTTTTTTTTTAAATTTTATATTAAAAAAATTTAGGCTAAAATTCACGAAGAATTGGATAGCATTTACTCGGACGACCCGAACCGGGATATAAAGTTTGATGACCTGAGACACATGAAATACTTGGAAAAGTGTATCAAAGAGGCGCTACGTATTTATCCGCCGGTGCTGTTCATTGCCCGCCGGATAACCGATGAGTTGAAGATCAAACAGTATACTATACCCGAAGGTACCAATTGTATGGTATTGTTCTATCAGTTACACCGGGATCCCAAATATTTCCCGGATCCCGAAATCTATGATCCGGATAGGTTTTCGGCTGATAATACCAACACTAGACACGCGTTTGCCTATACGCCGTTCAGTGCCGGACCGCGCAATTGTATTGGACAGAGGTTTGTATAGTATTTATGTATGCTATTTACATGTATGTGTGTGTATGTGTGTGTATGTGTGTGTATTTGTGTGTATGTGTGTGTATGTGTGTGTATGTGTGTGTATGTGTGTGTATGTGTGTGTATGTGTGTGTATGTGTGTGTATGTGTGTATATGTGTGTGTATGTGTGTGTATGTGTGTGTATGTGTGTGTGTATGTGTGTGTATGTGTGTGTATGTGTGTGTATGTGTGTATATGTGTGTGTATGTGTGTGTATGTGTGTGTATGTGTGTGTATGTGTGTATATGTGTGTATATGTGTGTGTATGTGTGTGTATGTGTGTGTGTATGTGTGTGTATGTGTGTGTATGTGTGTGTGTGTGTGTGTGTGTGTATGTGTGTGTGTATGTGTGTGTATGTGTGTGTATGTGTGTGTATGTGTGTGTATGTGTGTATATGTGTGTGTATGTGTGTGAATGTGTGTGTATGTGTGTGTATGTGTGTGTATGTGTGTGTATGTGTGTGTATGTGTGTGTATGTGTGTGTATGTGTGTGTATGTGTGTGTATGTGTGTGTATGTGTGTGTATGTGTGTGTATGTGTGTGTATGTGTGTGTATGTGTGTGTATGTGTGTGTATGTGTGTGTGTATGTGTGTGTATGTGTGTGTATGTGTGTGTATGTGTGTGTATGTGTGTGTATGTGTGTGTATGTGTGTGTATGTGTGTGTATGTGTGTGTATGTGTGTGTGTATGTATGTGTGTGTGTATGTATGTTTATGCTTAAGTATATTTACTAACATGTAATTATAAACTAATAAAAAAATTAGTTAAAATTTAAATTAAATAATAAAAATTTTAATATATCAGATAATATTATATTATTGCATTAAATAATTAAGCATAGATTAAGGAAGCACTGACTTAATACATATCATCATTATATTAATTGTAATACAATTTTATACAAATTGTATTTATATAAGTATACTATATATAAAAGTCTATAGTTATGATAAATTTAGATTATTTAAAAGTTTACAGTTTTTTTTGTTGTTGAAAATACAGTAAATACTGTACTGTTTTAACAGTAAAAATATTTTACTAATCATAATAAAAATAATTGTTTATTAATCATAATTTAGTTATTAAATAAAACAAAAAATTAAACTCAATACTAAGATAAATAATATATATTTTTTGATAATAAATAAAATCTATTTATATAACATTTTGATAACTTAATAAAAAAAGTGTGTAAAAATAGTTGAAAAAAATAAATATTTTTTGAAATTTTATGTTTTATAAATCAGATTATAATAGGATTTTTTTTGAGTGTGTGTCTGCTTTAACTAAATAACCTTGTTTAGATTATCTAATATAATCAAATATTTATACTTAACATTTAAAAAAAAATTAGTTTTAATTTTGCAAACATTAAATTATAAATCTATAGTTATATTAATAATATTTTTTTGAATTTGTTTATAATTTTTATAATATTAAATTGTTTTTTGTTTTTTTTTTAAAAATGTTTGATTATTATTATTATTATTAGATTTGCAATGCAAACCGTTAAGGCATTATTGGCGGCAATATTACGAAAATATCGGATCCAATCACTGGTACCGTTAGATAAGGTAGAGCTGGCTATCGGTACTACAATGGGTCCGAAAAATAAAATTACACTCAAATTTGAGCCCAGATTGTAAAACCAACCATAATGTTAATTATTTGTGTATTAAATAAATGCATAACAAATTAAAAAAAAAATAAATAAAAACCGACTAAAAATTAACTAAAAAAATAAATTAGTTTTGTAATTTTTTGTAATTTATAAATTAATTATAAAATTGTTATATGTTTTAATATTTATAAAAAATGTTAAAGACATAAGTTTTTTTAGATAATTTTTAAAAATATTAATTTTATGTTACATAACGTTTATATCATCTTATAATAATTTTTTAATTAATTTTTAACTTATTGTTATTATTTTATTATTAAAAAATATATTTTTATACATGAATTTATGTGTATTTACACATTTTTATACGTGTATATATATATTTGTAAATTGTAACATTGAAAATTAATTATGATAAGTTGGCAGTTTAATTTTATTAGTTTTAAAAAATATATTATTTATAACTTATAATACTTATTTAATATTATTAATTAACATTAAAAATATAACAATATTCAATATAAACTATAATTAAATATTTAGATAATAATTTTATAAAATACATTTTTTAATTAAAATAATTATTGTACCTAATACAGATTATAGAAAAATATTAGTTGTTTTAATTTTATAAGTTTTTTTTAATTATTAATTATTATATACTGTTATAATTTATAAAAAAATGTAATTTAAGTATTTGTTCAAGTCAATCTAAATTTAAAAACTACTAGTAATTATTTTAATCAATAAAAATTTGTCAGTATTTTGTTGTTACAGTTATCAAATTTATTTTTTTTAATTAGCTTTTAATATTTATAGGACTTTTTTAAAAAAAATAAATATTTTTAACAAATAGTAATTATAAATTTAAATTGTAAATTATTTATATATAAGGTGTATAAATATTATAGTTAAAATATAAAATAAATAATAAAATTTTTAATATATCAGATAGTATTATATTATTGCATTAAATAATTATGCATAGATTAGGTGATACGCGAAACCTAAATACATATCATCATTATTACTGTATTATTTGTAATACAAATTTATACAAATTGTATTTATATATGCATACAGTATTTAATAGCTCATAGTTATGATAAATTTAGATTATTTAAAAGTTTACAGTTTTTTTTGAAAATACATTAAATACTGTTAAACAGTAATAATATTTTATTAATCATAATAAAAAGAATTGTTTATTAATTATAATTATTAAACAAAACAAAAAATTAAAGTAAATACTAGAATAAATAATATATATATATTTTTAAAAATTTTTTTCATAATAAATAAAATCTATTTATATAATATTTTGATTACTTAATAATAAGATAATCAAATATTTATACTAAACATTTAAAAAATATTAGTTTTAATATTGCAAACTTGAAATTATAAATCTATAGTTATATTAATAATATTTATTTAATTTTAATTTGTTTATAATTTTTATAATATTAAATTGTTTTTTGTTTTTTTTAAATGTTTGATTATTATTATTATTATTATTATTATTATTATTATTATTATTATTATTATTATTATTATTATTATTATTATTATTATTATTATTATTACGATTCTGTGATTCTATTACGATAATTGGATTCAATCACTGGTACCGTTAGATAAGGTATAGCTGGCTATCGGTACTACAATGGGTCCGAAAAATAAAATTACACTCAAATTTGAGCCCAGATTGTAAAACCCAGGTTTAAAAAAAATTATTTGTAAATTAAAAATATCAACAATTTTTATAAATATAAATTAATAACAATTTAATTTTTTTAAAAAAACTATATATTTTATTAGTAAGCAGATTTTTAAAATAAAATTTTCTAATTTAAAAAAAATCATTTATTTGAACTATAATTTTCTAATTATATTTCTAAATAAAATTTATTTAATTATATAATTATAAAACCTTTTAAATTAATTGGTTAAACTATTTTTTGGTTTTACAATAATATTTTTACCAAAAAAAATATTTTATTTTATTATTTCAAACATATTATTTTCTAAGCTGTAACATTTTAATATTTTTAAAAAAATCTAGTTTGTTAATTTATTAAAGTTATTTTAGTATAATTAGCATAAACAATATCAATTGTAATCATATTATTAAATTTTTAATTTTTATTTTAAATTATATACAATAAAAAACTTTAATAATATAATTTTATTAAGTTTAATATACTGGTCGATCCATAAAAAGATAGCGATTAAAATACTACAAACAATTTATAAAAACTAAATTTAATTTTATTTAAAGTAATCCTCCTGTGCCTGAATGCACTTGGTCATACGCCTCCTCCACCTTTCAAACGCCTCCTCCCAGGCAGTTTTCGCAAGCGACTCAAAATACTCTATTTTTCGAGTCATCTTCATCTTCAGACACAAATATCTTTGCTTCCCGTGACAGTATTGGCCCGTAATAATCATAGTCACTTCATCAACTTTTACTATCTTAGTGGTGGTATTATCTCTGAATTTCTTCTAGGGGTTTAGAACTTATTGACATTTTTCCAACCTATCCCCCTTTTGCTCTCCACTTAGAAGATGGGGTACAAAACCACAAAATTGCTTCTGTACCTTTAATTGGTCAGCACATATTCTTCAAAGTATTTTGCCCCGAATGCCTGATTTGTACTTCAACTCGTGGTATGTAATACTTGGATCAGCTCTTATTATGTCTTCGACAATCGCTGCATTTTCCGGGGTATTCTCCGAAACAGGCCGTTCCTCAATAGGGTTGTTTTCAAGTGACTACTGTCACCTTTTGAATTCACGTATCAATTTGGTGATTGTACTAAAACTTAAAGTAATATGTCCTTATACTGTGTTGATGCGCTGGTCAATCACTTCCAACTCTTTAGTCTTCATCCATTGATAATAAATGATGGCCCGAATCTGGTTCGCTTTCAAATCATTTTGACTGTTCAAAAAAACTCTGACACCACTTATTTAAATGACTATAACTTTTGAACAAATAAACAAAATTTGATGAAAATCACACCAAAAGCAAATCAAATGTATACAAATAAGAGAGTGTAAAAAGATTTTGGCTAACATTCATAAATAACGTTTCGCTACCTTTATATGGCGAAGAGTAAAATATTAGCATATATTTAAACTAATATATACTAAAATATAATAATTAATTATAACTACTACTGTTTTAATTATAATTTTTAAAAAATGAAAATAAATAAATACAATACTATTTTATATAAAATTACACTCAAATTTGAGTAATTTATAAAATATGTAAATTAAAAAAATATATATGCAGATGTTTAAACAAAATTTATATAAAAAATCATTTATTTTAACTATA